AAAATGTTTATGAATGTGGTGCATATCTGCATAACTTGGAAAATGTTTATGGTTGTGGTGTATGCTGTGAAGATGATTATGAATGTTTTTTGCATATCAGGAAGGTGTTTATAAGTTGGTGCGCGTCAGGAAGATGTTAATGAATGTGGTGCATACTGTGAAGATGTTTATGAAAGTGATACATGGTGTAAAAATAAAAGCTCCAGCATATTTTAGAACCAAGTTTGGATTGATATATTAGTTGTGGTTCTAAATTGAGTAGTTAGTTTTATATTACCATTTACGCTAGAGTTCTTTCTGATCTCACTAACAAACCTCCGCTATATTAACATATCTCATTTTATTTTTGATATGTTTGGCTATTGATATATGATTTCCATTCCACTTGTGATTTCTTGGTAAATGAAGGATCATTATATTTTTAAGGAAGAGTGATAACTGATGAATAATTATTTCTCAATTCAGTTGCCAGTTATAGAAAGAGTAAGTAAGAGTCGTGACTATCTGAAGAACAGAAATATGTTCTCTAAATTTCTTTATTACAGGTAGCATTGTTGTAATATAATTGTATATTGCATCTCAATTTGTTTATTTTGTTTTTATTAAAAAAATGTAATAAATTTAATTAATCCGTTTTGCTGTAAATTTTTGAGACATTCTATTTTAAATTTGGTATATATTAAATTGAAATATGGCTAATGACCACAAAGTCTTGCAGGTAAGCACCCACAAGCAACAAATCAACCAGGGCTGTCAACAGGAGCAGTTCAGGAAACTTTTAACAGTGAGGTTAAAAAATTTCTGTTTATATAATAAACCGTCAATATACAATTAATAATTTTTTGCCATTATCAATTAGTACTAACTGCTTCTAAACTTCATGATTTTAGTTCATATTTAAATAAAATGTTTCTATAAAAATAGCCAGACACATCTCCGCCAAATTTGTCACATCAGCGAACCTTGGTGTGGAACTTTGAAGACATTCGTATGCTCATTGGAACAGACTTGCCTATCTTTGGAGGAGGCACTCATCCATGTGTCTCATTGAAACTCAGGTTTCATCTCTGTTTTTTCTTATTTTACTTAATGTGTTCTCACATTTTTATTTTTCATAGTAAGTCTTGCTTTTACTATTTTCCTTTAGTTTATAATTTTGAATTTGTTGTTATGTAAACTAACAGGGACATGAAAAAGCCAATTACAGTTTTGACGGGTCTTGACTACTGGCTCGACAATTTAATGTGCAATGTTCCTGAATTGGCAATGTGTTATCATGATGATGGCATTGTGCAAGTTAGTAAATTTGATGAATTATTAGCCTTTGTAATTTGTGCTATTTTTAAGTTGTTATATAATTCATTCATCAAAATTCTATAACAGAAAAACTAATCATTTTTTAATATTGTTTCTA